CCCTGGGCCTTTCTCCTCAAGCGCTGGGCCCGCCGCCGCTCCCCACCTCCCTTCCCCAGGCCCTCCTCCTCAAGCGCGCCAGCCAAGGCGAAATTGAGCAACGAGGTTCTTGACTCGAAGGGACGCTCCCTTTGATCCTTCCCCCGCCGGGAGGGGGGGGGGTCCCGGAAGGGGTCCCGGGGGGGGGTCCCACGTCAGATACGACTCCCCCCTGTGGGGTCCCAGAGCCCATAACTCGAAAGGAAGCCCCTTCCCTTTGATGCCTCCCCCGCCGGGATTGGGGGAGGTCTCGGGGGGTGGTTCCGGGTGGAGGGTCCCGGGTCAGATACGATTCCTCCCTGGGGGGTCCCGGGGTCCAAAAAAGCCGCAAGACGGGCCAAGAGTGTGCCTAAGACGGTCCAAGAGGGCCCCGAATCTCTGAACGATCTGTCCAAGACGCCTTGACGGCCTCCAGACGGGCCAGACTCTGCAAGATTCACCCAAGGGCCTCCAGAAGCACTCCCAAGAGGGCCCCAATGAGAAAAAGCACGGATTTCCCGTGAAGGTTTGGAACATTTCGGAGTTCTCGCCTCTTCCGCTTCGCGACGCTCCAAGACGGCCCAAGAGACCCCCCCGATCGCCCCAAGACGGCCCAAGAGGGCTCCAGGAGGGACCCAAAATGGCCCAAGAGGGCCCCAAGACGGCCCAAGACGCCTCCAAGACGGCCCAAGACGCTTCCAAAAGGGTGCCCAGACGAGGGATCCAAACTGACATTTCGAACCCTCGACCCCGAGAGGCTTCTAGGAAGAACCAAGAGGCCCCCAAAAGGCCCGCAAGAGGTCCCAAGAGGCCTCCAAGAAACCCCCAGGAAGCCCCGAGAGGCCCCCAAGGGGCTCCCAAGGGGCCCCCAACATGCTCCCCAGAGGCCCTTTAAGTAGTCCCCAGAGGCCCCCGAGCGCGCTTCGAAGAGACCCCAAGAGGCATCCATCATGACTCTGACCCACGTCAGCGTCGTCGCCGTCGCCGCCGCCGCCGTTGTCGTCGTTCCCCTTCAGCGTCGGCCGCACCGGCCGTTAAGACCTTCGCAATACAGCAGACTCGTGCTTCCGAAGCC